CAAAACGCCCCTCGGTCCCCCCCCCCCCCCCGCCATGGGCAGGGACACCCTCCACTAGACCAGGTTGCCCAAAGCCCCATCCAGCCTGGCCTTGAACACTTCCAGGGAGGGGGCATCCACAGCTTCTCTGGGCAACCTGTGTCTCAACACCCTCACAGTAAAGGATTTGTTAGTACAGAACCAACAGTGACAGTACTGATTTTGAGCTGGATTTTGAGTTGCATTTCAGTGCGTATTTGTACGTGACACTGTGTAAATGGGTTTCTTCTTTTATATGACTGCAAAACAGGGTTGCAAGTATCCTGAAGCCATGTAAATGAGGTGTGCAGATCATTGCAGGAAAGTATTTATGAGTATGTTGCCCACACTAAACACCTGAACTAACAGTAATTAAGCACCAGTAAAACTCTTACTGTATTTTCCCTGGCTTAGCTTCTGCTCTAACTTGAATTTGAATAAAATAGTATTTTCAGAAATAATGTTTTCTTACCTTTGCTTTTAGGTATCAAAGAATGAACTGGATTGGCTTCAACAAGACTTAGAAATAAAAATGAAAAAATGGCAACAGGAGAAAAAAGAAAATCAAAAGAACTTAAAAGCACTAAGGAACACAGTTAAAAAGCATACAGATACCAATGATAGGTACTAGTTTTATATACAGATTTGTATTACTTTCCTTTTGCTTGATTTTTTTTTTCTTGTTTTTAAAGCAGCAGTAACTTCTGATAGGCTATGATCAGTTTCAGTATCTACTGATTCCATGATGTACACAGAGTGAAAACTCAAACTTTTTGCCCTGATTATGTCACTCTGAAATGAGTTAAATGCAATTCTTGGATTAGAGCTGCTGTTAATAGGATCTACATACAACATTATTTAACATAATTAATAAATACTACTCCTTCACTATTTAAGATCTTCCCCCATTTTCCAGAATCCTTTAGATCTGCACGGCTTTTTCACTTTTCTCCTTCATGACTTACCATCGCTTCCTCAGCGTGTTCCTCTACTGCATTATGATTAGCTTTAAATTCTTATTTCCATTTTCATTCTTCCTTCTTCTCTTGCACAATTGACCCAACCGAACTCTGGCCTGTATCTATTTTTCTGACGCGCTTTTTGTCTGTTCTGCCGCATTGCTTATCTGAGGGTCATCTGAGGATACATGTTTCCTTCTTTTCTAGTCCTGTCACTCGTTTCTCAGATTCAAGTGAAACTGCAAGAACTGCATAACTGCATGTATCTATTGTGGTGGGTTTTTTTTAACTCATCCTTCATCCTAAAACAGCGATCTGCAGGGCTTTCCATGGCACTTAAATCAGGACTATCAGTGTGGGAATCCCATCATGACCCCATGTGCAGCAAATGCAGCTCTTCCCCTGGCAATGAGCTCTCCTGGCTATGGAGGAGCAAGAATCAATCTCAGTCAATTTCTACCACAGTCAACCAGTATCCATGAGATCATGTCACTGACATACTGAAAAAGAAATCTTGTGTCATTTGATGAAGTATTACCAGTAGCTTTTCCCAAAATCTTCAGAAATCTTTAAGTGACATAATCATTGGCTATGTAAGCAGCTAGATGTTTTATCACATAATAGGCTGAAATATGCACATGTCTGCTTTTGTATTTTGGTTTGGGTTGGTTTTTGTTGTTGTTTTTTTTTTCAAGTTACAGGTAAACATTAAAATAGCTTCTAGATAACTGATGAAACTGCCTGACTTAGCAATAATATTTGTAATCAGATTTGACAAGTCCTACTGTATTTTTAATGTTTTCTCTCATTCTGTCCTTGAATGCTGTTGTATTATCTTTAGTCTGAGTAGTTTGGGCTGAATCTCTCTTGAAAGATCATTGGCCTGCTTTTCTATTCATTACTGCTTAATTAGGAATACATTTAAATGCACTTATAGCACTAAACAACATATAAAACATACAGATTCTCACTGCTGTGTGATTGTCACTATGGTTATAGAGGAAAGTTTGCTTGTGTTTGCTTGTGAACATTTTTCAGAATGAGCTGAGTAAATGTTTCATTACTCTAGGTATTTGAAGACCATTGATGAGAAGGAAAAGCAATATAATGTATCTTTAAACATGTATCTCGAGACCAGGTAAAACTCTTGTACCTTTCCGCATTATTTACATTTTTCTACTGACTTGTGATTATTGGAGTTGTCTGCTTCACTCTGTATCTCTTATTATCTTCACCTATATCTCTTATTCTCAGTTAGTTTACTTTTACCTATTGTAAGTAAGTATTATTTGCTTTTAGATATTTAGAATAATAAAAGTCTGGGTTTTCAAAATACTCTCATACATTTCCCTTGATTATACGATACCACGTTCTAGAACAGACGTTAGAAGTTGGGTGCGGTAGATATACGGAATGGTTCTATGTAGCTTTGGATCTAAGCGTCATTTAGGACTAAGTGTATAAGGTTATCTAAACATTTTCTAAAAGTTACTCATTTGCACATAGTATAAAGTCAAGGTTTCATTTATAGATACATTATATATGTGATCAGGCTCAGAACAATTCTACTTGCATGACTGCAGCAGTCAAACTCCTATAAGCTTTTTAGGTTGCAGAGTGAGGTGTGGTTAAGAAACCCCAGGGTCGTGTCCGTGTAGCCAGCAGCGTGGCTACGTGAGCATGAAGGCACAAGCTGTCCAATGTCAGTCGAGACGCGTGGTTCCGAAGAAGAGAGAAGCAATAGCTGTAGAAAGCCTCTAAAGAGCCATAGATTTTAACTACTACTCTGTTGTAAATGTTACCCAAATATTTAACTTCTTTTTATTTCACAGTAATAAACTTGCTAATGAGAAAGTAAAATTGGAAGAGCTTATAAAAAAGAGCCAAGATGACTGCCAAGAGTGTGTGAGAAGAGCTGTTAAAGCAGAGGTACAAACAAAAAAAATAAGCTTAAAACACTTTTGCTAGAGCTTGGATCACTTGTGCTGATAGTAGGTGGGGAAGATAACTGGTGAAGTCTTATCTAACAATGTACTTTTAAAATACCATCTAAAACTTTTCATAAGCGTATATCAAAAGCGTTAATCAAATATTGACAAGTGCTGTTCATGATGTTATCCTACCGAACTTTGCAGATCATCAAGGCACAGTATTATGATTGACCAGTATTAAAAGTGCACAGAATTTGGGGCATATAGTAATTCTCCAAACAAAATTCAACTCCTAATTGAGTTTCATGCTTATCCTTGTTATGAATTGATTCTGTTAGTAAGAGTTACCTATAGGAACATAAAAAAATTCCTTGTTAAAAGTAAGTCATGGTTAGTGAATGTGTAGCTGCTTCTTCATCGGGTAGAATCAGAATGCAACAAGAGACTTGTGTGTCTCCCTGAAAGGAGGAGAGTACTAATAAATAACAACACTTTTTCTAAAACCAGTATGTTTTATGCTGGAAATGTTTTGAATATCCTGAACAATTCTCCCTTCTTAAGAAGGACTTGAAGGCTGTCTTATCTGCAGTAGGATGAAAAGATTAGATTGTTGGTCCACATTAGTCTTCAACCATGCAGTATTTAACAGGCTGCCTGAATCACTTCAAGTGTGTATGTGTATATATATATTGACACACACACACATATATATGATAAGTTGCAAATGGAACATTTATGGAAGCTTTCTACAGTGAATGGAAGAGACTGTAGCCTTTTTATCCTTGCGAAGGCCTGCCAAGGCTGTTAATTCCACTTGAAATTCCTCACAGTAGGAACTATGTGGTGTACTCTGTATCTGAAACAATAGTTTGATGATGCTTATTAAAATCTATTTTGAGGTTTTATTTCTTGTGTTACAGCAGTGCTTTTACTGCACTTTTTTTTTTTACACTTTTATGGTTTTTTACAGATATCAGTACTCAAAAACTGGAAGGAAACTGAAGTATGCAGACTAAATGGTATAACTGCCAATGCAGAAGTAAATCTCAAGGTGCTGAAGTCATTCAGCAGGTATGGAGAGCTTACACCAGAAATTTCAGAACTATTAGCTGCTAAATACGAGCAACTACTGAATGCTCAATCATGATTGATTGTTTAACTAGACAAGCTAGTTTTGCTCACAAAGGGATGCTAGTCTGAAAGGTGTGTAGAAACTGGATAGTTAAATGCAGCTTTCCTGAAGCTGAATTTCTTCTTAAATTACCAAGATACTTAAGCAGGAGCAAGCTTCTTGTCTTATTCTTTCCTAGCTGGGGAAGATCAGGCTACAGGGGACATTCCAGTTATTCCTGCACAGTATCACTGGGAAAGGGCTGCAATGTAAATAGAAAAGAGTACAAAGAAAACTGCTGGGCATACAACAACATTGGTTTCTTCCTTACAAGGAACTCATTTAGCCCTTGATGTTACCTTTTTTTAAAACTTAGGCCATGTTCCCTTTCCCTGCCTTTATGTTGCTGCAAAATACTAATTTACATTTGTGGAGTCCACTTCTGAGATTGGAGAGGATCTAAGTGCCAGTATAACTGATTTTAACTTAAAATTGCTTGAAGTCTTTAACTGTGATTTAGTTGGTAGTTTTAGTTGTACTAAAACTATCAGTCTTAAACTCCAACATTCCCATTACTTTTGTTTAACTGAAAATCTTGAATACTTCAGCAGCTCACCTTCAGCAGCATCCACGTTGAAGTCACAGATTGATTCTTGGGAAATATTTATTTCAAATGTAAAGAAACAACTGGAAAAAGTAGAGGTAAGCCTTAATTTCTCTTAACAAGCTTTAAGTTGAACTTCAGAAATTAGAACAGAACAAGTATCTTCAGTAATTTTGCATTCCTTTTTTAAAACACCGGTAGCTTGTCCTCCAAATACTGAACTGCATTTTTTTAATTACAAAAGAAAGATCTAGTTTAAGTCTAGATTATTTAAGTATAGTTAAGTTACAATAAATATCTTCAGTTTTATAAGGGCAAAAATCTGTCTGTTATACCCTTGCTTCAAAACTGGATCCCATATTAACAAGTCTAGTCTCTTGGTTCGTTTGTATTTTTTGAACTATAGAAATCCATGCGACTTCTTTAAAAACAACAGAAAACTCTCTATGAAAAGTTAAGATGTAAGATGTCTAGGCTGAGTTTTAAGAACTGGAATGGGTTTCTCAAAACCTTTCAAGCATCAATGCAAGTACTTAAGTACAGATTTATGTTTCTATAGCAAATGGCCTCACGTCTCCATTTGAAAGTCCTGGCAGCTTTGGCGTTTTGCAAAAAAGTAGTTGTGCTAATGCCATTTTAAATAAAGAGCGAGCTTTAGTTAATGCCAGTGTGGAGGATAATTTGTCTTCCTTCTGCAGGCTAAGTATGAAGAAAAAATTCAGATGGTGAAAAATGGTGTACGGAACTGCCTCACTAAAATGGAAACTGTGGAGCTTGCTTCTCCTCCCAGCGTCTTAGTACGTATCTTACACTTGCTAGCAGTTTGTTAAGAAGTTCTTTAAGTTTGCATCGGCATGGCTATCCCTTACAGGACATATATTCAAGTTCTTTGTGTACGTAGCCTTGAATACAAAGTAATCTGGCTCTCCATACATCAGGTAATGTTCAGAAGGAAAGGTGACTGCAGATTAGCATGATGAAGTCCAGCCAGAAGCACGTTCTAAAGGCCTTTGAGAGGCTTAAGATGTTTAAAGTTAACTTTAAAACGCTTTGTGTTCTGTCTGAATTAGGACTAATGGTTTCGCATATCATGACTTTCCTGTAGCACCAAAACCCATAGGGACAAGGCCCTGTTACACCAACATGTGTAACAGATTACGAATGCCAAAATCAGCTTCCAGCCGTATCTGTTATGGACTAGATGGAGTATAGCCATTTATGGAAATGCATCTGTAATGACTACATCCCAGATAAATATAATTTAAAAACACTTTCTCGTGGGCCAACAGTTCCACAAATGCTTTGCTCAAATCATGTCAGTGACTTCTGAACCCTGTGATTGTTCTTGGTGCAAAGATGATGTCAGTATGAGTCAATATTCCTTGAAGGGTTCATCAGCATGGCGGTGGGAAGACACGTGGTGATGATAAAATACTTACAGCTGAGCTTGCTGCAGCAACAGTGTGAACAGCCTCTCTGCTGCCATTCACCAATGGTAGAATTGAAGCCAGGGCACAGAGCCGACGTCCAGTCGTGAAGACAAACAGCATTCAACCAACCACTGGACCTGGGATGCTTCGGAGTAGGGAAAAAAGGGTTCAGTCATGTCTCAAAATAGGGGAGGTCATTGACCCAGTAAGTAAAAGGCACTCGTAGTGCACATGCATACAAAATCCCTGAATTCACTGAACATGCCACACAACTTTTTAATATATATTCTGTGCAGAAGTCCTAGTTTTTTCTTCTGTTTGTTTTTTTGGTATAATTTAGATTCAAGGCTTTAATGCTGTATACTTATATGATGGTTAGTACAGGTTTTCTGGACTTACACAAGTCATAGTCACTCCTGCGTGCCTTTTCTTCCCCATTTATTTCTAGGTATCTCCTTTCTACTTCTTGGCACAGAACTCTTAAGAATATGTAGGTAACTTAGTTACCATGAATTTACAGCCTGGGAAGGAGCAACTTCTGAGCCTCTTGTTCTGCATTTGGTATCTATTTTTACTGCAGTAATACAGGAGTAACCTTTTAGAAGAGAGATCTGTAATTCTTTCAGCTTTGAGAGGATGTTAATAGGCAAATACTGAGTCCAAATGAAAAAGACGTGATGAAAATCCTTTTCTCCCTGTTGAATTAATTCAATTAAACACCTTTACAGAGAAGCCAAAATACAGCTTCAAAAGGTGGTAAACTAAAGAGCACAGAAGAACCAGCAGGTTTGACTATGGAGAAGTGTAGAATTTTAGTTTCATGTGTTAGAAAGCCACCTTCCTAGAGCAGTCAAGTTCTGAAACAAACAGCAGTCATGGGGTCAAACAACTTAACTTATTTTAAGGACGTCTTTCCATTTATGGAAGAAAGTTGTTAGTGCAAAAAGAAGTCTTCCTGGATCATGTCAGCTCCAAGTTTTTCAAGACAATGACTATAGCTGACACATGTTTCTGTTTAAAAAAAAATAAAAAAATTACACTGGATTATATATAGATTATATAATCCATTAAAAGCAGTGAGTTTTGTATTTTCAAATTGATGGCACTTACTTAAAGCAGTTCTGTTTCTACCACCAACTTCAAGCTACACTTCTTTACAGCTTACAGCTGCCCAACAGCCATGCATTCTTTAGCAAAGCAAGAATAAGTTAAGGGAACGGTTTGTGCACGTGCTCTCCTACGCAATCCTGTTTCAGACAGGTCGTGTCTCTGTGCAGCACCTATTAACGAGCACCTTTGTGCAATGTTTTTATCTAGGAAAAGCAAATTAAGATACGTTGATAAGACCTTAGCTAAGATCCTTAGCATGACCAAATGTGCTGCAAACACTTGAGAGTTCTGCTTGATTTCCTCTAATCCTTATTTTTCTTGTAAAACCCGTTTATTTCCTAGACAAAACAAGGCAGACCTCCAGTCAGTGACCCAGCCATTGTCACATATTCCTCTGCATCTGCACATCCTAATTTACTTCCTGCATTTTCAAGTTCTGAAGATCCAGGTCCAACACACGCTTCACTTAATACACAGGCCGGAGTTAAGCCAACACATGCAAATTCTACAGCTTGTTCTGCAAGTGGTGGATCAGTGAAAACACACTCCAAACCTCTGGAAGGATCATATTCCGATAAAGTTTCAGCAACTTGCCTGTCGGGGATTTCTGGAAGTAATATTCAGAGTGTCCAGCCAAACCAGAACCACCAAGATGACTTGGCTGTACAACCGAGGCCTTCAGGACTTCCAAACAACAAAATGCTTCCAAAAGCATTTGAAAATGTTATTGCGCATTTACAGAGTATATTCCCAAACTATAGCAGGTATGGTTTTTAATGTGTGTAATGTTAGGCTGGGTAACAGAAGTTCTAAACATCCAGTGATAAAGTACAAAAATAATTGTTCTTTTAGTAGATGGCTTGTTTCATGAGAAGAGTATTAGTTGTTCCCCTCCCTCCCCTCCTATTCAGTGAGACGTTCCTTAAGGGAATAGACCTATGGTGTTCACTTAGGTGTTTTGGGTTTTTTCCAATTAGAACCACCAGCAAATAGAAGTGATATTATTATTATTCCAGAGCACTGGAACAGGCTGCCCAGAGAGGTTGTGGAGTCTCCTTCTCTGGAGAGATCCAACACCAGCCTGGACACCATCCTGTGCAACCTGCTCTAGGTGATCCTGCTCTAGCAGGGGGGTTGGACTAGATCTCCAGAGGTCCCTTCCAATCTCTACCATTCTGCGATTCTGTGATTATTTTACTGTTTGAGTTTTTTCACAATTAAGGTAGCTAGATCCTAGTTTACTGAGAGGTATTGGAAGCAAGTACTTGCTACAGTTCATTTGAGAAGTTAGTATCTTTTAAAGGCGCTACTGCTGTGACTCAGAGATGGCAGCTACGGTCTTCTCTAACACTGTGACCATGCTGGTAACAGCCATAGTATTGCCAATCAGTATGTATGTCGTCTTTTTTTTTTTCCCTCCCTTCAGTTCAGAGTTTACTAGCTTCATAAAAGACGTACAAAGAAGAAATGGGAATACACTGTCAGGTTTGAGCTTAGACGAAATTCTAAGCAGAGTGACAGAACTCATTCTGGACCAGCAAAATAAGGTATGTGGTGTATGGAGCTGCTGCCTTCTCTACTGTGCGTCCCTGACAGAGGGAACAGCGCAGCACAGTCCAGAAGAGGATGCAACTTTCCTTTGCTGTCAAGCTCTGAAATAGGAACTTGCTGAGAATTCTTTTCCAATTCCTGCCTAGGCACCAACTTCAACAGGGAGACCTCTGAAGTCAGTATCCCCTGCTTCACCAGCGCAGACTAGAACTCGGGGCTGGGAAGTACCTGCAGAAGAAAATGTGCCCAGCCCACCCAAGGCAAGACCTGTGCAGAAAAATGCCTCAAGTAAAAATCCATCTTGGCCAAATCTCCAGCCGTGGGAAAACGTTGGAGCAATACCTAAATCAAAATGGAAAAAACTAGACTACACAGTAAGTTCTCCACTGTCTCAAGGAATGGGAAGCGATTGCTGTGTACTTCTTATAAGGACATGAAATAATCTAAGTATTTCTGAAAAAATAATCGACTTGTTCATTTTGTATACAAAAGCTTAAATGTACTTGGTTAAAATTAGTAACATTATGAACTACTTAGAATTTGCTGATTAATTGTTGCTAGTTTTCGAATAACATTTTATGTACAGGCCTCCAGTGATGAGCTGTGCACAATATGTCATGATGAGCTAATCAAAGACTTGTGTGAACTAGAATGCGGGCATTGTTTTCACAGAGAGGTAAGGATATTTGAGTTTAGCACTTAGATACAAACATTTACAAACTCTGTTAGGTTGTGCCCTTGTTCCACTTTCTAAAAGCAACCCTTCCCCTCTTACCCGTCAGTGCTTAAAGAACAGCGCACAATTTTCTTTTACATACTTTGTACACGAAGATTTGCTATATATACAGTCTTAGTGTGTTAGAAGGCTTCCAGGTTTAGATTTTTAAGTAAAATGGTAATTCATCGGAGTGAATTTAAGCTTATTCTTCAGAGAATAAATTTAGCACTAGAGTCAAATTTGTTTGCAGCATGCTTGTGGAATGGGCTATCACCGTAAACCCTGCATTTCTCACCTGATAGCAGTTGCTTGCTTAACTTCATGTAGTAAGAAAGTCAGAATTATGTTAGAATATTGTGATACTTCTGTCCATGACCTTTTTGAATTACTTGGTTGGTTTACTGCTGATTTGTTATTGCAGAATAGATGCAAATGTAAATCGATCAGCAGAGCGTCAGGATTGGAGACCGGTTTTCTAACTGCAAGTTTTGGTACCATAGAACACGTTGGAAAATTACTTTACCTATTAGTGACAATTATTAACGTACTTAAGCTGAACTCTTTATACCTGACTTTGTTTCCTCAACATCATCTTCCTGTTCTTGCAGTGCATTAGAACGTGGCTTAAGCAACATTCAAGTACCTGCCCCATCTGCCGCATTCATGTTTTGTTATCTGAGGACTTTCCTAAGCTTCCTGCACGGAACAAATATGCCTAAACCTTGTTTTATTTGAACACATTGTAAGAAGATGCAAAGTGGCTGCACAATAAGGACTGTGAGAAGGAAGAAACACGATGCCTAGGAAGAGGCAGAAACCCTGGTTTTATTGAAAATGGTACAAGAACTCGGACTGACTCAGTATCTAACACTTTGCATTAGGCCGCAAGAGGCTGGTACTGCCACGGCACCTGCAGAATCAAGCTGGCATACTCCAAGACCCGGCACTTTCCCTGGTTGCTGCCTTAATGTGTGAAGCCAATGCAGCTCAGAGACCAGCAGCACACACAACTAGTATGGTTTTTGGCCAAGGGATATTTACTCGTGTCTACTTTTCTCAAAGGATGGTGCATAATTCCTGTAAAGAGAGGGTTTCCTTCAGAGTTTACACCACAGTGAAAATAAATTCTAGTATCAAACAAGTAGGCGATCTGAATGATGGACTAACAGAATTTGGAACAGCCAAGACATTACCTTCCTCTGGCATAAACAATTACAATTTAACTGCAGGACTCATCAGGCTTGTTATGGTCATTATGAATGCTGTTCATATAACTGCAGCTCCCTTCTCTGCATAAATCCACAGCTAATAATTCAAATAGTTTAAATAATGACTTTTAGTAATAGTTTGAAACAAGAACTTTTAAGTATTCATGTGCTTCTTTCTGTTTGTATATCAAGTTGGAATACTATGGTTTAGTCTTGAAACATAGTTTGTATTTCCCTCATCATTGAAGAGCTGATTTGTTAAAATAAGAATTACAGGATTTTTATTTTTGAGGAATCAATACACTGCATCTATATTCTGTGCATGAATGCTCATTAACAGTGAGTGTTAGTGAGGTACAGAACACACCCAGCTGAACGAACGGTTATCCTGCTGCTTTAAGAGTCTGAGCTTGCCAGAGCACCTTTGGCACTGTAAAACTTGTCTCAGAGCCAGAAGACCAGGACTAGAGTGTGTACAGCTTAACCACTCTGAAAATAATAGAGGAGTGTGGCTGTTTGGATACAAGCAGTATTAAATTGATCATAAGACATTAAGTTAGCCAATTCTAGGGATCATTTGTTTCCCCAGGTAAATGTGTATCCTCCAGATGAAGTTTTAAACTATTCTGTGATTAATGAGTATAATAATCTGCACTTGATTAAAAATAAAACTATTGCTGCATTGATGTGTTGTTTTGAGTTATCGCTGAGAAACTGACTCTATGCTAGACAGCTAAGGCACCTTGTGCCTGAAGAATTAGGTGCTGTGCTGCTCAGTAGTACAGCACTTGCATTTTTTTCCAGCTCCCATTCTCTTAGGGCAGGGAATATGTGTATATTCCATATACACATATTCCATATATACATATTTTCCATATACACATACCATATGTATATTCTGTATACATATATTCCATATATACATACCATCTTCTTAGCTTTTCACAAAAGCAGCTTAAGTCCTTGGCCCTCAGGATGCTTTTCCAGAACAGAGGTGTCCTTGACCTGCTAAGCAGGAAACTGCTTTACCACTCTGTGCTGTACTGGGCAGCGTTCTCCAAAGAGAACAGCACCTGCCTTGAGGTAACAAGGGTGAGCTGGCTGTGGAAATGGAACTGGGTTTTACCTACACTTGCCTGGTATTGGCCGATCTCATTTCTCCTGTACCCACAGCACAGCCAGGATCCCAAGTTCCTAAATAAGCAGGATGGGTTTTAATCTGGGTTCTTTTCCTCTTCCCTGACTCCCACAAGCCAGAAGGGTGGGAGTGATCCCCAGAGAGAGTTCAGTCACAGCTTCAGAAAGGAGCCCCCCCCCCCCCCCCCGCGAGCCGCGGGGGGTAGGGGGGGGGCTGGATTCCAGTCTGGGTCGAACATAACCAGCTGGCTGGGGGGGAGGCCCAGGGAGGATGAAGGCCAGGCCCCTCCTCCCCACTCACTTGTGATGGTGGGAGGTGACAGCGCTCCGCTGGGCAGCAGGTGGCACTGTTGAAACATCACATAGACTACAAAGAGTGGCTTTCCTTTTCCACACATGATCCTGTACAATTTCCTGATCTTTGAGAAGTGTTAAGTTGTAGTAAATAGCCTTTTCCCCCCCCACAAGACATTGAAATAAGAATTTCAGATGTTTATCCCTGAAATACAGATGATATAGAACCAGGGCCAAACCTGGAATTATATTTTCCTGCTTGGTAATGCTGCTGGATAAAGCTAAAGGAAATTTTTTTTTTTTTGGCAGTTTTCTTAATTCTGTCTTTGCAAGTTGTCATCTTTACACTTATACTGTATATAACGCTTTATACACTTAGCCTGCCTCCATCCCACATAATATTGTATGCAAAAATTGACAATTAGAATGAAACTTAACATCAAAAATCTACAACCCATTTGTGTTGGGAAAGTTACTTCTTGCTGAAATAGTTTTCCTATATTGTTCCCTTAAGATGTATAGTTACAAACACTTTATTTACCTTAAAGTGTAAATGCCAGGAAAGGAATAAGTTGAACAAGTGACAATATTAACCCACCTAATTAAAAAGGGACAGTAGCTCCCTTGGCATGGTTATTCATACAATGACAAGTCAGAGGCTGAAGGCAAAAGGTGCCCCAGGGTACAAGTCTTTAATGCAGTTTTCCCACCAGCAGCCCAGGCTGATCTGCAACAATTCAGTGGTGCTGTCTGGCACCATGTCAAAACTGAGCTGTGGAAGTCTTATAAAAGGGCAGATGGCATAATGCAAAGAGTAAGTATATTCTCAAACTAAAAACTTGACTGATCCTTTTCAGCACTACTTTACATAAATTGCAAAGATGAAGCAAGGGCATTGTTTTTCTAACCCAGGGAAGAGCCCAGGGAAAAACCAGACACAAAAGAACGACATCAATTCCTCCAATACAGACTCATTCCCAATTTGACCAAAATAACACTGAGTGTTATTACACATCATTATTCATTTCACATCACATTCATCTTGCGATATTCATCCTGCATCACCACCCTGCATTGTTGTAGCACCATTTATTTTACCTTCAAAGACACCATACAGTATTATATTACAAGTCCCCTACCCTCCCCCCCCCAGTATATATACACCACATATAACAGGACCTACTAGGTTTAAGAGGTCTTTAAAGGACTTCGGAACAAGTATTACAAAATGAAAAGAGGAGAGAAACGCATTACATATTTCTGCAACTTGTAGAAATACAGAATTATTCCTTCAGGATTTATCCGAGAAAAATTGAGGAAAACATGGTTGTTGAAGTCCAAAAGACACCTGACAAGGCTGTCTGGATCAATACATCCATGTAGGCTACAGTAAGGCAGGCTAAAAGTCTTAGCAAGATTTAGAGACAACTGAAAGCACAAGAACTACCAGCAGGGAGAAGGAAGTGATGTGTTTTCAGTTAAAATGAGACACGGATAAAATTTCACTTTGCCTCTAATGAATTTTGTCCTTTTTCTGTAAATCCTTAAGTGATTCTCCTCTGGCTATTTACATCCTGCAGAGCTTCAGCGGGAAGTTCTCTGTGATGAGATGATCATCATGCAGAAGGACAACAATGTTAACTTCGAACTCTGGAAGAAGGGGGAAAACATAAATAAACAAGGAGTTGGGTATGAATCTGAATCGCAGCAGCAGGATGAAAGGCAGGCAGCAGTTCCCGTGCTCACACATAGCACTTCACAGGGCTCTTCCAAGCTGCTTCAATACCCTGGATTTTCCCATGGCAGGGATGAACACGGTACTCTAGGCGGAACCTCACCACAGCCATCCCAGACCTTGGGCCATTCCTAGAGAACCTTGGCTTGTTTGTATCCAGAGGAATCCCAAAGATTAGCTTTCATATCACGGAAAGACCATGGCATGCAGTCTTCTGAACAAGCAGAGTTCAGACATCTACGATTAAAATGTTTGGGGAAAGACACCTCGCACCAATATGCACCGTTCAGAAGCACAGAAGTAAGAGTTAGGGAACAGCCTCCTCGCCTGCTGCCAGCATGTAACATGGCATTACATATAGCCTTCAAGCCCAAAAGACAATAAACCCACAAACTATGAGAAAAAGTTTTCAAAAGGAAATCTACTTTTTAGATATTGTATTGTGTTGTTCAAAACCAAAATCAGTATCAGACCCATAATCAAGCCTAAATGGAGACAGAATACAAAGTCAGGTAAAGGGAACCAGAGATCAGAATACACTGAAAATAATTGTCCTTTTTTAGAATTTTCGTAACTATAGTAAGACTGTTCTTATAAATAAAAGTAGATACTACACTAAGAGTAGCCATTTGTCACTGTAAATTACTATTCAATAGCTCAAAATGGCAAAAAGTAGAGAATAGTATTATTCTGGGGAAAAAACCCTCACTGTACACATTGGGTGTAAATATGCTCTTGGGGAACAGATAAGCAAGCAGGCTGCGCTGAACAACTAGTTGTGCACATTTGTCCAAGGTGGTACAGCAGAAAAGGAGGGGCTTCAGTTGGGAAGGATCCTAAAGGCTAGGCCTTGTAGCTTCAATCTGATACAATAAAATAAAAAAAGAGAACCAACAGATTCCAGCAGGATGAAGCGAAGAAAAACAAGCTAGCAAAGAGAATTTTTGTAGTAAGTATTTGAACAAGTGAGGAAAATCCTAAATTTCAGGTGTTTTTTTAAGGAAAATGTTGGATTTTGGCAACGGTAAGCAGGAAGAAGCAGCTGGTGTAGATCAAGAAAAGCGAAGTCACATACAGCCTAACCTTACCTTTTCTACTTCTGAGACTGTGCAGCAGGAGAATGGGG